CCTTGCATGCTGGCAATAAGCCGTCCAACAGTTTCAAAAGCAAGATTTACTGCTAATACATCCGGTAAGAGACTATTCTCAAAAGAGAAAAGTGGTGTATATTCTGAAATTTAGAATCCAAAGCAAAAAAAGGGGGCAAGATCCTCAAGTAATGCACTTTCCTAAAGTCCACAGCTAAAAGGCTGTGCCGGCTGCATTAACAGATGTGGTGCAACAGTTTAAGTAGAGGGAAAAAAAAGGATGATGAGGTGTCACAGAGGTGCAGCACTATGTAATTTACAATGCAGTTTCATTTGTGGTGCACAGAACAATCCCACTCTGAAGTCTTACTGACCTGAACCCATGTTAAGTCTCACTTGTTTACTTCTTCAACTGGAGACAAAATGAGACTAATAAATTGTTCCCCACTATAACATGCAAGGGCTGGAAAAAGCCTGACCAGCAGCATTAGCACAGCTGGGAGCTGCTGTTCTCAAACCAGGAGGGCAGGTTTCAGATGAGTTTTTCTCTGAGGTCAGCCTCCTCCACTGACTCAGAGCTTGCTCCTATTTGCTTTTTCCTATCCAAACTCCAGAACCACTGATTATCTTTCTTGTTCTATCTAAAAATAAGTCAAACATCTCTGTTCATGTGCCTAAATAGCCCACTGCTGTAATTTCTTGCCTTCTGAAATTACAGTTCAAAACTCACTTTTAATTTTTTTTTTCCCTCCTATTACCAGCTCTTTATGCCCTGGCATACATGGCATACTGCTTCCTGCTCTCTTCTTTCTAACTGGGCTCAGACTAATTAACAAGCAATAGATTTTTCTTGATTACAACGCTAAAGCCTTTCTTTCTTCACACATTAAAAACAAGATGATGGATCTTTTCTTCTGGGTGGCGGTTTTGATGTTACAAAACTAGTATTCGATCTGCATGGTGGATAATAGAAATTTTATTGCCTATTTAATGAATTGTTTTAATTTCAGACTGAGTCATTACAAGGGCTTTTGTTTTCTGAGTTGGTTTTTAAGGGAAGTGAAAGATGACTAGGAAGCTTCCAGTGAAACCAGGTGTCAACTGTGCCAGTCCCAGTGTGTATGCTTAAAACAAACAGAGGCCTTACTCGACATAGCGCATCGACATAGCATAGATGTGGCAAAACCAGGCTAATGAGCAGGCAAAATAACATCAGTCTCCATTTTACAGCTCAAAAGTGAAGAGCCATCATCTGCTCCAGCCTCTTAGTGACCCCACCTGGTGATAAGACTCAGGACTGGAAATGCGCAGCTGTGAACTGGCTGCCTGCCTGCAGAAAAATCCGCATTGGCCCCTGTCCCTGGCTGTCACAAGGCTGTTAAAGCATTTCCCACTCACTGCTTACAGTAAACTGAGAATGAGACACCCTGGGACAGTCTGGAGGAGTGCTATGCATTGTGTATTACCAACTTTTAGCATCCTCGGTGTGATTAGCACTCACATGGAAACCAGCAACATCAGTTTCAGATTTATCAGAAGCAGACAAAATTACTTAGCAAAGCTTCAGCTGGAAATCCCAAGGCTCACCCTGAATTCTGTAACTTGGAGACTGATTTAAGGAGAAAAACAAACAAACAGGATAGGCCTGGAGGACCTGTAGATCCCCCTGACACTTCTACAAATACAAGCTCTCTGTCTCAGCATTTTCAGCACCATTGCTCTTTCTAGAAACCCCTCACTGGCACAACAGTGCACACTGCCTGACAAGCTGCTGATTCAGGTGTTCAAGCTTCAGACTTGACTACATACAGTGTTCTAATTAAGTAATGTCCTCTGCGGAGCTCACAGAAAGCTCATTTGGAAAATAACACCAACAGCAAATTCATCATCTACCTGGAGAGCTGGGAGTTTTTCCCCTTCACTTCAACACTTACAATCTTAAACTGGTTGATGAAATTCCCATATCCCTCATACAGTTCAGCTGGCTTTGCCCCTCCAAACAGCACACTGTGCTCCAGGCCTGGGCAGCTCCTCCTGCAGCTTGTGCTGTGTGTGCAATCATTTCAGCAGGTCCCAGGTAGCCATGCTCCATCACTGCTCACACACTGCCAGACCCCCACAAAAACGTTGGAAGAGGCCAGACATTCCTCCACACCACTCTTGGTGAGATTTATCTTCTTTCTTACCAAGACTTGAATTATTTCTGATTTAGATGGAGAACATCCCTAAAGCCACACTGTTTAGTCTCTACACGCTGCACGTCCCAAGAAGAGAGCTATAGCAAGCATTTGGTGGCATAGCTGGGAACATCTGCAGGATAAACTCCTTGAAGGTTTCAACACGATGAACATCCAGAACTAACCAAAGATGACTTGTGCACATGAAACCTTGTAAGAGGGGGCACTGACTGCAATGTGTGCTAACAGCAGCACTGCCTATGTCTTCCCCGTGTTCAACTGTATCTGCAAAAACAAAAACAGTAAGTGGAGAAGTTGCAGAGGGAAAGGAAAGGAGGAAGCTGGTGGAAAAGACAAACCGTAGCAGATGGAAATGCTTAAAGTAACAGGTTCTGGAAAGAAAATTAAGAACCTCTGTCTTCTCCCAGGGATCCAGCTTCACATCCTTTAGTAGTGAAAAAAGCAAAGACCTTTTAAGACTCCACTGCTGGGGACAAAGCAGGAATAAGAGCTGCTAATCCTTCCTGGCCCTCACCATGCTGTGGCTCAGCTTGTGTCTGCACAACACTGGCATCATCTGTCACTTTCCAAATACACTGCCTGTTTCCTGTAGTTTTGTAGTGCTATTCCCTAACACCACAAACACTATCTTTTGTGTTTCTTTTCTCCTCATCTCAATTCGATGTACCAGCATAATTTCTTTATATAATAATGGCCCATTTTATAACAAAAAGATCCCCCCAACCACCACATTAAGCTGTTATTGAATCTTTATCCATGCTATAGCACATGACTAATTTGAAAAAGTGACTCATTCAGATGATTTAGTCTTACACATTTATGAAAATTATAAAACATCTCTCTCACGGTGTAGGAAGAGTAATAAAACCACACTACACCCAAAGGCACAAAGCAACCTAGCTACCTGCCAATGCGCTGGGAGCTCTGCTCCCCTTCTGCACTCCTCCGACGGTGTCAGTTTGCTAGGAGCTTGTAACAAGCCCATTTTTGTGGGGTGCCTCTTTTTCAGTCCTTTCACACCTATGCAGTCCTTGCTGTAGCAGTGAAGTTGCCAATTTACACCGGACTGCTCTGCGCAAAGAAGCAGATGCTCCATGACTCATACAGTGCTTACAGAGAAGTTATGGATAGCGGCACGATAATGAACAATACCAAATGTCATCCCTAAAATTCAAACATGCAGATGTTAATGCCCATGGCATAACGGCCATATTAATTTAAGAGACAGTATTTTCTCCTATAAATAGCCCTTTAATCAATACCTTGCAATCCTCCAGTGCTGTTGACTGCAGCATGGTTTCCCCCACAGACCACACAGTTTTAAACTCCACAGGACTCCTCTGCACGCTGCAGCACGGAAGAAAGTAACAAACTCCCACCCTGCAGACTCCATGGGAAATCAACTACCATCTACAAAGCACTGAATGCAAAGCAATAAAAAAAAATAAAGAGAAAGTAGGCGATGCTGACTTTCACCTCTCCTTTGGATGATTTTCTGTGAATTCTGCATGTCAGAAAGGATCAAATGTTCAGAAAACTCAGACAACTAACTCTGGCCTTAATAAAAGAAGGTAAAAATAACGACCACTGTCAGCACTAAGAGCTAAATGCACCCCAAGCAAACAGTCCTAGTTCAGCTAAGGGATACAGTGTGAGTCAAGCTGTAATAAGCAGTAAAAACACTCCAATGGTACACAGTGACCGTTCCCTAAATGGACTGCAAAGTGCTCACCAGCAGAGGTAATCCACACAACTGCAAAGCTTGGCTCTAATCATCACATAGAAATGCCAAGGTATTTGGGGATTACAAGCAAAAATGTAAGATGCAGGAGGAACCAAAGCTGTCACCACCTTGTCACGGTGACAAAGTCAGAATTGCCACAGAATCTGTGTTCTCCATAGCCAGGCAGGACATGGCATTATTCCCCCTGGAAGGCTTGTCCTCCAGCAGCTACCGGCACCGGTGCAGCAGCAACGCCAAGGACCGAGTGCCATCTACTGTTACCAGCTCCCTCCTGCTGCAGCTGGATTTCCCCCATATCTCTCCTGAATGCAGACAGCCCAACCTTTCTTAGACTGCTGCCTCAGGCGCAACCACCAGATAAGATGACAGAGCAAAAATATTTCAGTTGTAGGCTAGGTGTAAGCTTACAAAAGAGCTCGGCAGGAAGCTGCCTGAAAGGTCCTGAACTGAGCAGTGATGTGACTGACAGGCTGATGAGGAGGGATTGCTTCAGCTGCACCACGGCCCAGGCACTAGCCCAGCTCAGAGCAGTTACCCAAAAACCAGAGTAGTTCCACAGGAGGCACTACTGCATGTGGCCTGGGCTGCTGTGGAGGAAGACTCTGTCAGTGAATGTTAAACAGTGACCACTCTAATGCTGGTTACATGCCAACTGGTGAACAGCATAATAGGGAAGCAGCAGATCAGGTTCTCTGGATTTTCAGATGCTGAAAGGCTGTGCCCCACTCTACTGAATCTATCTGATCAGTATAAATCATGTTTTATTGCCTGCTACACTGTCTGCATATAGGAGCCCAGTGTCACAACTGAAGCGATCAAGAATGTAGAGCTAGCCAGTGAGACAGGCCTTGGAAGAAAAGCCAAAACCAGGGTCCATGAAGCTCTGAAGGGGCTTCACAAAACCTCAAGAGTTAGCAGGTCATAAAAGTGACCTAAAAGAAATGAAACAAAACCAAAAACAAACTCAAACAAACCATACACCAACACCCTCTCCATTCCAACATTTAGTTGGACAAACAAGCAGAGTAAAAAAGTTAAGATTTATTACTTAAAACTGTCTCTGGTTATGGAAACAGGTAGTGGGAGGCTCCTACTCGATCAGTCTGCCAGCTCGTCTCTCACCAGCACAGGGAATCGCTTTCCTCCTTCACAGAGCTGCGTGTAAATCGCCCGATACAGCTGAGCTGTGGAGGCCTCTGGGTAGAGCCTGGACTCCAGGACAGGCAGGAGTTCAGCCATCATGCCCTGGGCAGGGAGAGGAGACACATCAAGAGTCAGTGTGCACTCTCAGGATTCCACGAAATAAAGTAGCTGCATAACAAGTGAAACCTAACCAGAGCAGTATGACTAATAACATGTTAACTGATAGACAGATGCTTTCTTTTGTCTTATTTAACAAAGGCAGAGTTGTTCATCCTCTGCTCATGAAGCACACCAGCAGCCACCCAGCTTTCCCAGAGCAGTGAGATAAATGATACTGCTTTCCCTCCACTGCAGAGATGGCCCAGTGCTGGGATGAGATCAGCACCCTGTAAGAAGCTGATGTTGATTCAGGATCTCTGCAACCACACAGTGAAGTGCTCGCTCACCCAACAGCAAGTTCAACCCTTTACTCATGTCTATTCCTGTCACCTCCCAGTTGGGTGACATTAATCCAAGACAGACAGGCAAGTGGCCAATGCCAGCCCAAACAGAACAAAACTGTACACCTCCCCAGCAGCACAGCAACTGAGAATGCTAAAGGTGTCCAACATTACCCAACCTGGCCTCTGGTTCATTAGGCCTACCTCGTGATTGCAAGTCCATGCTCTCAGACAACCCACTGGCCCGTTGCAGCCTAATTTACAGCTCAAAGCTCTGGGATTATGACTGTGACTGACAACTTGAGCAGAGCTGAACTTTGAGTCAAAGCACAAAAGTCAGCCTTTAGTACCTCACTCTTGCATTAATGTTCAGAAAGATATTTTGCCTGGATTTTTTTTTTTCATTAGCATCAGCTAATGCAGTCTGATCAGCCTGCACATTAAAAAGCACACAGCCTACTGTACACACTGCCTTCCTAGGAAAAGGGTGGACAATGAATTGCACGTGTCAGGGACCTCCCTCAAAGCACTTTTCAGCAGTGGAGACAAAGGAAGAGCCAAACAGAACAGAGCACGGGGTATCTGCTGGGGATTCCCTTTCCTGTTCTCCATACATCTCTGCACAAGGACAGGGAAACAGGACACAGTGGCTTTTATCTGGGAAGAGTTAAGAGCTGCAGACATGAAAGCTACCTAAGGGGAAAGCTGGCACATGAAGGGGCACTACACTGCTCCACTTCCCTAGAGAGACCCTTCTCTTCCATCTGCCTGGTCTGCTCCTGGTGGATAAGAACAGTGGAAATGGGCCTTCACAACCAAAGGCAAGCTAAGAGCTACCAGAATTTTTTAACGATTCCTGGCATTCCTCCATGGAAAGGTACTGCATAGGCTTGGCCCAGAAATACCCTATCCCAGGTTATCTTGTACTGAGTTCATTCACTTCACCCAAGTGAATTTCACTTATCTTGCATGTTCTGCACAGAGCTGCTTCAGATATCAGAACTCACCCAGGACAAAGCACCTATTTAGATACATATGCAGAGGAAACTGAGTCAATCAACAGAGCATCAGGCAGCAGACTTTGGTTACCACTTAGTTTTGGGCAGATAAAAATCAGAAACCTCACAACCCATAATTCAGCATTATAGCACTAAAGTTCCATTTGGAGACAGGCAGCAATCTATCTTCAGCTAGAGGGAAGAGTGCTGCCAGTTATGAGAAACTCTTCCCTGGCTTACAAAAAATGGCTTTTCCAAAGCTTCCATCATTCAGGTCAACAGCAAAGGTTAGGTCAAAGGAGTACATGTTATTTCACAGACCTTCTCTGCCCTTTGCTGCTGTTGGTTGAGAAGAAAAAAATTATCTCTGTGCAGCAAGTACTCTGCTCAGGCTGGTGGAGAGACTGACCTGCTATCATGATCTTACAGGCAGTCTTAGAACAGTAAAGTCAAGACTCTGGTTTGAGATTTAACAGGAAAGGAACAGACAGCAGAGTTCACTAACCAGAGGTCACACTGGAGAGAATGACAGACTGAGCGGCCTGATAGGATTGTAAAGGGCTGCCACAAGGGATCTCCAAGCATTACCAACATCATCCTCCACCACCAAACTCTGAAAGAGTAGCTAAAAACCAATCTTATCAGGAGAGAGTCAGACATTTAAAGGACTCTGCTCTGGCCTTAATATAAAAAGTCTGGTCATCTACAAAGCAAGCAAGGAACTGATGGGTCTCAGACATGAAGCATAAACATAGAAACACCTCCGGGAGACTTAGCAGTGTGCTGCTCCTTCCCCATGTATCAGTTGTTGCCTCAAAATTGCCCCTTTCTTGACCAATTACCTCAAGAGCATTGACACTAAGACTCACCTTTTGTAAGGCAATTTCTTGGTGCAGCATTGACACTTGGAGCTTCAAGGCAAACAGGTCCCTCAGCTCCTGGAAACTGGAGTAACAAAGGAGAGGCACAGCCAGCACATCTGCTCTGTCATACATCTGTCCCCTGGGAGGGACACAGGCTGGAGAGCAGCTTCCTACATCCCCAGCACAGTCTGGGCGCAGCCTCATCTGGGACTCGACAGCTGCCAGGGTAGAAGAATTGGCAGGAGGCAGAAACATACAAATCAGTACTTGCAGAATTTGTGATCTACTTACTGTTCCTAGAAATGAATGACTAATGACATTGTGTTAGTCAGGGTGAGCTCCTCACACATGGCACAGTCAGGACATCTTAAGCTATGGCATGCAGTTTCCCCCACCTCTCAACAGCTCCCTCACCAGCCCTCCTGAATCACAGCAGTTAAAAGTCCCGAGCCTCTTCTAAATGCAGATGATGGCAAACAGATACCACAGCTTTGCAAAATGTAGCATGTAAAATACCAATGTAGCATGTAAAATTACTATTTTACATGCTACATTACCATTAAGAGTAATCAGAAGGAAAAATACATTGGTCCACAGTATTCTGTGCACAGATGGCAAACTACTGTTCAAGCACAGCTGGCCACAGTCATACCCAACTAAAAAAACAGGGACTGGCTCACCTGCTCGCAGAAGGTGCAGTTTCTGCAGGCACTGGGAAACTGTGGTTTGCAAACCCTCCAAGGTTAGAAGGCTTTCATACTCTCTTTGCAGAGTGGGGTGATCTAGAAGAGAAGCAGAGGAAAACCAGCAGGCATGAGCATACTGAAAGCCTCCCTCCGCAAATACCAGTTTCTAGAGTGGCCTTGGGTTCATCTGCCCTCATTTTAGGCAGAGAATGCTCCTGTTCTTCATGGCCAGCACATGCCAGAACACAAGGCACATGGGACTGGAACTCACTGAAGTCATCCTCCTCTGCCCCTCCATTTCTTTTCTCCTTACCTGCAGGCTCAGTCTCCACATACTGGCTCAGAAGGGAGGGGACATCCCGGAGGACTTTCAATTCCTCCTCTATCTCTGCAGGACTGACGGCCGGCATCGGTGAACGGAACTCAAACAGCAGCAGCTTAAGGAAGGTTTTCACACCACTAGCTCTGTGTCCTAACCCAAGCCCTGGCCAGCTGGAATCAGGGGCAGAGGCAGAGGACAACAGGCTGTGAAGTGGCATCACAGGAATAAGGTGGGGACAACACAGCTGTGTATGGCATGTCTGCCTTGCTGCCTTGTTGGTCCTGATCAGAAGTTTTATGACTGCTCAAGAGCTGCACTATGAAAAATAAAACCACTTTCTAGAGACCCAGCTTGAACTCCTGGTGCTGTAGGCATAACTCTCTCCAGATGGGAGCATGCTGCAGAGTGAGTGCACCCAGTCCCTGCTGTATCGCACCACTTGCCCATGGAAGGAGGCGGCGAGCTGAGAAAGGATACAGTTGTCTGGATCCTCTCCATAAAATGGTTCCTTGCAGCTGCTGCATCTGCACTTGTCTGGCAGAGATGACATCTCTCCCATGCCCTGAAAATTCAAAAGGGGCAAGAGGTGGATGAGTTGTGCTCCTTTGTACCAGACAGCACTCACACTGAGCTGACACACCATGACAGTTGCTAGTATTGTTACAGTATCAGTGCTTCAAATACAGGTGCATTCCTCACCCTTCTTTTACAGGTTATTTGCTAGCCGTTCCACTCTCATTTTTGACAGTTGTTAGTAGATCAAGGATGCTCTGCAGAAAACATTAGACACCGCAGAACACCTAGGGTACTTCTCTCAACTTGTACTGAGGGGAAGGATTACAGCCATCAGCAGAGACACAACATATTTCTATAAGCAGAATGTGAACTTGCAGCACATTACTAATTCTGTTGTATCACCCTACCTATGTTTTTATCCCATAGGAAACAACAAATCTTCCCTTCCTTTCTTCAGTGGTAAGTCATTTGCATTTCTGTACATTTACTCTGTTAGTAAATGTGTACAAAACAACAGAGCAGACAGGACAAATTCTCAGGCTAGCTTTTACCACAGTAATTCCTTTATATGCCAAACTTCCTCAAGACTTTCCTTTAATGCTTTTTTTAGAACGAAGTAGTGTTTTCCAAGAAGCATGAGAGCAGTGCATCATTATCAGGGATGCAAAACACAGAGGTTTAAGAACAATATCATAAGTAAGCCCAACAGGACCCTGTATCAGAGTTCAGTTTTTAAAAGAAAGTGTTACACAAGTAAGAGCACCGCCAGAGAGATGCATTTCACTTACAGACTTCAACATCCCTACCAATGCACAGTCCCATAATATCGTTTAAGTAAAGGACTGCTTGAAAGAGCCGATGCATCTCAGCCAGTCTCCCAAAACCTGCCAGAGTAAATAAGAGCCATCAGGATGAAGTTTAAAATAGTTCTGTAGTGCACGACTGTAACCCAAGTGTGTATGTCTTCTCTCCATTCAAATAGATCTTTTAAATCATGATAGAAACTGCAGTTTCCAAAAACACATTAAGCAAAGAAATAGCAAGGTTAATGGAACAGAAGTTTCCAGGCAAGATGCATTCTCTCTATATATTGGATCTTTAAGCAAAGGTGATTTTCAATCTGTCATTGAGTTGAAAGTAATAATAAAGAGTGTAAAATTACACCAGAGTGATTAGGATGCTGAAAGGCTCCATTTGCAAGTGAAAATTAAGGGAACCAAGTCTTTACAACTTGCTGAAGGGTGACTAACAAATTGGTGTCTGATAAATGACAGTTTGCAAGAGGAGCTCTTGAGAGTAGCACAAGGAGCTATAGCTAGATTTAAGAAAGGGTTTAAACTTAGTATCTGGACAAACCACATAATGAGAAATCTACTGAATTATGGCAAGATTTCCCAAAGGAAATGGTGGGAGATTCCTTCCAGAGGACTGGAGAATGGACTCCAAGTTCACCAGAAACCCAACCACCTGCACAATGGGTGCAGTAACACTGTAATTGGCTCTATTTAAGAGAGTTCATCAGCAAGGAATCCTCCTCCAGCACACCCAGCCATGGTGATTCCAGGTTAGAGAGGCATCCCAGCAGAGCCACTCAGGACAGCAGCCAGTTGGGAAACACTGTCATTGCACAGGGTACACAGGCACCCACCCCACAAGGCTTCCTGTCTTCAACAAGTATCTGGTGACAGCAGAGGCTTCTGCAGCACAATTAATCCCATGATGAAAGCACTCCAGTACCTTTACAATTTAGGGATTAACAGGAATTAGCAATCTGAAAACAATCATGACACTGGTAGCTAGAGTAACATGAAAACACCTACCCTCAGAAACAGCCTCACAGAGAGATGCTGTATCAGACCACTCCTGCTCTGAGTTCGGGCCCCACACGTTGTGGGGTCAACGCCTCCCTGGGACCCACAAACCAGCCAGGTCTCCCCCCATCCAACCCCTCCTCACAGCCCTTAAGCAGAGGGTAATTGTGGATGGGACTGATCAGGCTGGGCTTACCTGGAGTTCCTGGAATAGGCTTTCCTGTAGGGAAGGGGTAGCTTCAGCTGGCATCTGCAAAACAAGAGAAACATCAATTACTGCAAAACAAGGGAAACATCAATTCCCTTTCCTGTAGGGAAGGGGTAGCTTCAGCTGGCATCTGCAAAACAAGAGAAACATCAATTCTGACTGTCAGAGAGCAGTGGATCCTTGTCTTCAAATAGAGAAAAATGTCATTTTCTCTAAATTTGAAATTAATTTAGCTGTAACAGAAGATGTCAACAACCCTGGACACTGAATCCACTATGGCCTTCAGCCTGTTCTCAAGGAAGGAGGATCAGCCTGCTCATTCATTTCCACAAGCACCACTGCACTGACTAGGGAAAGCTCCCACATCCTTCCACCACTCATCCAGGGCTCCGCCACGTTGAGAAGGTGGGAGCCAAGCCTTGACCAGACATGGAGGTAACATCTTCAAGGAAGCTGATTGCTACAAACACGAGTGCAAGCAAACCTCTCCATGCTGCCACACCTGTGCCCAACAGGGCAGCTTTGCTTAGCACTGTATCACACACAAAGAAATGGGAAAGGGACACTTCAGCTTCCACTGGGAATACCGCCTTAATCCTAACTTGTTATTGCAAACACATGTGGGTTGGCAGTTACAGTTGGTCACACGCAAACTACGAACCCAAGACCAAGGTTGGGATTTTAAATAAACATTTGAATCCAGATTCCTGTTCCTGCAGCAACTGTCACTCAGTGTCCTGTGTCTGTTCCAACACCACATGAACAGTGGTAATCTCCTCCCTGCACAAACACAGGAGTTGGGTTGTGGCAGCTGAGAAGGATTTCTCAAAAATTTCCAGGGATGGGCACATACCAGATCTGAACATAACTTTCTTTAGAGCAAAGAGCCCACAGAAAAGAGTATAGAAATTACTTAAACAAGAAAGACTGGTCTGAATGCAAAGCCAATCTCCTAAGTATTATTTTGCAACTTTTCCACAGAGAACCCCAGCAATATCCACTTCATATTTTTTCCTATACCAAACACTTGAAACAACTGCATTTTAGTCAATACTGATTTGTGTAGTTACACAGGCAGTATCTTACAGGTTAAAGGGAACAGTATTAAACCAGATGCCATCTCTCCAAACAGCAGTGGGCATATAAGAAAGAGAGAGAGAGAGAGAAGTCATGCATTATGTATTATCAATGCATAAAAAAATAATTAAAAAAAAATCAATACACTATAATAGAAAGGGGACTCAGAGGAAAACTAAGGCTCAAAAAAGCTCTACAGAGACAGTCTCCTAAAACAGTCACAAGGGGCCATGAAATACAAAAAGTCTTAATTAAAAGGCTTTCAAAGTCCCAGCCATCCAAGAGTAAGCCCTTCAAATAAAAACACTTATTCAATCACAATAAAAGCTTTTAAACTGTCAAGGATCTTTCCTCTTGAGAAGGACCTGAGAAGTGGGGAAACCCAGCTGGGCCCTACAGAACAGTCGAAGGGACCGGGCTGTGCAGATGCGCTACTCAATGCCAAGCAGAACAAGAGGTGCTCATCCCTCAGCACTTACCCCTTTTCCTGGAGGGTGACTGTCCAAGGTGTGGTGCTCCGTCCCAATGCACCTTCAGTTGTAGGATCCTCCTTTTTGCTGGACTCTCCCAGGGCACCACAACTTTTCTTCCCTGCATCAAATAACTGCTTGCCAGCAGCTACAGAGTTCCTTCTCTCAGCTACATCCCCTACAGGAAAGCTTTGCTGCTCCTCCAGGGTGGATCTCGACAAGCCAGGTGCCTTTTGGGGTTCAGCTGGAACACAAGCCTCTCTGCCATGGGCACTAATTGCTGTCCTATAACTCCTTCCTTGTTTGCAAGCCACCACTTTTGAGGAACAATTTCCAGCTGTCCTGGGACCTTGAGAAACACATCTGGCTGGTGCTTTCCTTTGTGGCTTTTTCACATCTGGGTCAGTCCTATAAGGGGCTCTCAGCTTGTATGGAGAGGGCTTCTTCAAAGAGGCAGGCTTTTTGCTTACTGTTCTCATCTTTGTGGTCACAGGAACATTCTCAACAGATACAGACAATTGCTGCTCTTGAGTATTCCTGGGAGCAGGTCCCTCACTTGTAGCTCCCTGGGACTCTAGTGGAGTTTTCAAGATGCTTTTCCTGACTTTCAGTGCCTTCTCTAAGGCCCTGTTCAACAGTTCCAGCTCCTCCAGCTCCTTGGGTGAAGGCCTGTTCTCTGCAAGAGTAGAAGATGTATCAGAAGGTCCAAACCTGTATCTTCTCCATTTTTCTCTACAGTAACTTACATTTCCAGGTGCCACAGAAGGAAACTGAACCCACTGAATGGTGTAGTGGGTATTTTGGCCACACTTTCACAGCAGCTACACAGAGGATGCAGGCAGGCTTGCCAAAAGCCCTGAAGATCCAGGATGGATGGGAGTCACTACAGAAGAAAGTTCTCCCGAGCCAACCTCCCCTTCACTGACAAGTGACATTCATCACGTCTTGGTAAGGCCCAGAGACGTTTCATTGCTGGCCTTGGTTACCATAGCACAACTCCACACTAACACTGATGAGGAAAGTGAGAGGAAAAAGGGGGGGGGAAGGTGGGTTCAAGTAGATGCAGGGCTCTGGAAGGACTTCTAACACTGAAGCTAGCCAGGCCCAGGGCCTGTGTGACCCGGAGCGACAGACACCAGGCCGGTGAGGGGGGAGCACTCACCGTGTCCATCAGTGGAGACAGCCTCCGGCTGCGGCTGCTCCTCTTCTTCAGTGCCCCTGTGGGGAAGAAACAGCGCCGAGGGCTGGCATTGTCAGGCACCGAGGGGTTCAGCTTCCCCCACGGCCTCTCGGGCCTCCGACACGGCTGCAGGGACACAAGCTCCCGCTCTGC